GATATAATTAGAGGAATTATTGATGAAATGTGATTTTAAGTTTCATAACAAAAACAGTTTATTACAATATTAAACCTTATTTGAGTTTCTGAGTCATCATACAAAATTCAATATTGGTTACTTATTTATTATTTAAAGGTCACTATTTGGTCACTATTTCCGTAATTTTAGTCACTAAAGTCACTACTATTATATCGCACCAGCACTACCAGCCCTGCCTTCAGAGAAATTATGAAAACTTAAGAAAAATTTCAGGAACTTCACAGATGCCCAGAGAATTTCAGGGAAATTTTAAGGTGTTAACATGAATTCCATTTATTTCCGAGCAGAACTGAGATCTTCGATAGAATTTAGAGCTTTATCGAAGCTTCGGGAACATCAAGACAGATTAGAGAATCAAAGGGCAGTTCAAATAATTGTAGAAATTTTAAGGAAATTTCGAGAAACTCAGACAATCCCCGGAAACTTCAGCAAAGCTCCGAGAGAATTTCTGGAACGTGATAAAAATTATATGGACATCCGGGAAACGTGAGAGTATTTTAAGGGTTTTATATCATGGAGATTTCAAGAACTTAAAAAAAATGCGAAAATTTAGATTAGTTGATTAGAGAACATCAACGAAGCTCCATTAATTAAAAAAAAATCCGAGAACTTTTAGCAAGCTTCAAAGAAATCCAGAGAACTTTTAATACAGTTAGATATTTTTAGTTGGTTTTATGATATTCAGCGAAGCGCCGAGTACTTCGAGAACGATCAGTTTGTTTAACCCATTAACTTAAGCAAATTTGAAGTTTCTCAAACAAAAAAGAACTGCAAAGCAGTTTCAGTAACTTCAGGACAAATTTGGGAACTTTCAAGTAGTTCTGAAGACCTCAGAATAGTCCATTCCGATTTCCATTTAAATATACCTCAACATTTCGATGAAGCTTCGAATTCAATTTTCTTTTATTTTACAGTTCCTTTTGAATCTCACCCCTTTCCTTGGAATTCTACTCACATTGAAAGTCTCCTAAGAATTCATTGGCATTTCTCCTCACAAATTCTTCTCATAATTTGTTTGGCAAACTCTTCTGAATTTATTTTCCGAATTCCATTGAAGATGTTCTGGAGTTATTCTCAGATTTAATTGTAATCCTCTTTTTAGTATTTTCAAAAAGATTCCAAGGACTTCCGCATAAATCACAACCATACGATTACCACATTGAAAATGGTTTATCTTCCTCTGAAAACGATAATGAGAAAGGTTCAGTCAACTTTAATCAAACCATACCTAGATAAAGTTTTGACCATATTGATTAAGGTTTTCGAAGACCCAACCATACGAACAATGGGTGGTTAAGAACGTTCACCATACGAAATCTCGCCTTTTCCCATACATTTTTAGCAAAACAACTATAGCCTTACCACATCAGAAAAGGTTCTAGTTGGATATGTGAAACTATTTCCATTAACTTTCGAATAAGGTAGTACGGTTTAGAACCAACCATTGTTGTTAACTTCATGATATACTATGAAATGGTATAAATTACCATACTTATTGACGTTATAATAAATACTGTCGTAGCTTATCCGGAATACAGCTGTCATGGGTTGTTCTTTAATTTTAAAGTGATTTACAAGATTTCTTTTTGTGGATACCTCCCTTGCTCTTGGTAACATGTTTATTGATCTTAATATAAAATGAATAGATGAATGAATTTGCCCTGCAAAACAAACTCCATTCCATTTCTGGAAGATAAAAAGGCCCCGGCATAACGAACCTGCTTCGATTTCCTTTTTGGATGATTTGAGCCACCAGCATCGAAATCTCCTTCACATGTAAACCGCTGTTAGCCCTGAACATTTATGTAGAAAATGCATGCACTTTTAAGAAATATTTTATACTTTAAGCTAATATTACCGAGGGTTTTAAAAATAAAATAACGAACAAAACAACACAATGAACTCACGAGCACCGTTTCAATCAAAAGCGTTTTCTTCTGTTTGTACCAATTGTAAAAACATAAAGCAACCATAATCGAAACACGTAATTACATTCCATAAACCATATCAAAACTATTTTGTGTAAAGTTAACATAGCTAGTAAGGTGTTAGTGAAGTTTGAACTGTTCTAGAAATGGTTTTTTTTTTTATATCTTTATTAAGGAGACTTTCAGCCGTTGGCTGGCTCGTCTCCGACTCTAGAAATGGTATTTTTCTATGCGGGTTATGTCCCGGATTCGTTTTCTCCCACACACTTTATGAAATTATCCTTAGAAGACCCTTGGAATTTTCCTCTGAAGGAGTTGCTCCTCAGAAATTACTAAGAGTTTTCATTATAATTTGCTTTCAATTCAATTCAGGGTTTCTTGAAATTCTACTCAAAACTATCAGGCTTCACAAGAAATCTTAAATTCCTCAGAACTACCTTGAAAGCAGATTGCATTTGATGATTTCTGAAAGATTTTTTCCCAGAACTTCCTCAAAGTGAGGTCCTAACGAATTTTAATAAAATTCCACGAGCTTTTAAAACTGTGCATAGAATTTGACTCCCGATTCTTGAAGTATTATCGCTTGTAAGTCCAGAACTAGTTCAAATTTAAAATTTCTAGGAAATATGCATTTTCATAAGCAAAACAAAAACAACATTTCAAGCCTCGGTTTTTTTTTTTTAATTTATTTGTTACTGAAGATTAATCCACTCTATCTATAATGTTTAAAGTGTGAATGAAAATAACGAGAAAAATTAAATGCTTGTATTTTAAAATTAATTCTTTTCTTTAAAATATCCTTAGTAATAAAATTATTAAATTCACACGTCCACACAAATTATTAAAACACACGTCCAGGTATTTTAAGGAAAAATAAAGTTTCCTTAAGATTCCCGGTTTTCTAGGTTTTTGCAGTTATTAGACACCCTGACTAATACCGTGGGTTTGGTCATAAACTTTCTATTGAATCTTTCGCTTTAAAGGTTCATATCGTACATAAGTGTTTATGAGATTTTTATTGAATAAGTCTAAAACATCAAACATTTATTTGGTGTGCTATCAGAACAACAGCTTTTCTTCTCTTAGATCACTTTTGAGTCACTATTTTTACAACTATAAGTCACTATTTGGTCACTTATTTCTTCAACATGGTCACTAAAATCACTATTTTTGACAGCAGTGATCGCTACCAGCCCTGCATTTGAAGTAAACAGCGCCAGCGGGGCCTGCTCATATAAATAGCCTAGCCTAGTGTAAATATTGATACTTGAAAACCTTTTGGGCTGTTTCCCACAATGGATTGAATTTCTCTGCAATTTGATTCCCCACAAAGGACCCAAAGCAGCTTCTTTACAAGAATTTAAAGACGATTACTCATTGAAGTTAAAATATACATTGTATTAGTAACAGCATCAAACTTGGTATTTTCCCGCACTATTGAACATCATACAGTCATCGTAACATATTTTACATGAGTGTCTATATATATATATATTAGGTATGCGCGCAACCCATACCGTTTGCAGTCATTCCTGTCAGTCTTTAAGCCATGTGCCCCCAATTGAAAAGTGCTACTTCCGTCAAAATGTAGTGCACTTACGCGAGTTTCTAGCCCATCCCTGCTCCAAATAATCATGGTTCTCCAAAAAATGTTCAAGATAACTGTTACAGACTTCAGCGTGGTCAGGTAGCATTATGAAAATTTTCAACTGTCCAATAATTCAAATAACATCTCAAAGATTCCAGTTTGCTCAAAAATGATTTAAAATGAAACCAAGATCACCTTGCATCTGGATGTTTTTTTTTTTCAAGATTTCAGATTGATCAGGTATCATGCTAAAGATTTCCAAATATTCCATAAGCCATGCATCTCTCAAATTTTCTTCCCAATGAAACATGGCAGCTTGGAATTTATTCCAAAGCACTTCATATGCTTTAACACTCCGAACACAATGCCTCCGGTAAAATGTGTAATAGCAAATTGGCAATGTTTGAAAAATCATTGCTCAGCAATTAATCGATAGATTTTAAATCTACTGATATCGTGGCATCGTGTTCGGATCGGAGTGTTAAGATCTCCATAAAGTCGTCTACATTTTTTATGAAGATTTCAGGTGGTCATCAATTCAAATCTTATCTCTAGGATTTCTCTCAGGATGCAAGGTGGATCCGAAAATATTCCAAAGATCATCACGCGATCAGGGATCAGAGATACCCCTCACCATCCCTCTCCAACGGGGGAGTTTGGTAAAGAGAGATGATCAAACCGATTTGTACTTTCCTAAAAAGTTGTGCTTGTTCGCTTTCTACTCTCTATAGGGTGGGTGAGCCAGTAGTGGAGGTACTTAGCCAATTTATTTATAAAAATAAATATACAATGTACACACAATCGTTATACATCAATTTATAGCTTTCAACCTCTATTTTGATAGAAAAATATTACTTTGTAATATAATTGCATACAATTTTAGAAAACTCGTCCTCCATTAATAGGAACACTGTTCCAGTAGTTGTGGTAGTTGCTAACTTTGGTTCCTATAATAGTGGCATGCGTTGGTTTCTTATGGGTTCCACTATAATAGGAACACTACCGCAACTATAGGTGCAAAGGACTGAAAATCTTAAGGAAAATTAATTATTTTCCGTCACTTTTGGGCATATTTTAAGATTGAAATATGCAAATATGCTTTATTTTAGGAGAGCTACCGATGAAAAATAATCATATCCGGGTCCTCCTCACTATTCCGGCACAAACTCAATACCGCAACTATAGGCACACCACTATTACTGGAACACCTACCCTATACAATTTTCACACTGCCGTACTCTAACGGAACTCTCTACTCTATCCTTTCATCTCCTCATCTATCGTATAACCACTTTAGTCTGTTATTTGAAATTAGCATCTTCAACTATGTAAATCGTTAACTTCACGCAGAAGTAATACAAACAAATAGTTAAAGTTATAGAACAGCCTGAAACGACTGAGTAGCCACCATCTAATGTCGATTCCCCCTTTTTCACTTGCAGGCGAAAATGGACGAGCTGCAGCTCTTCCGGGGCGATACGGTCCTGCTGAAGGGCAAACGCCGCAAGGAAACGGTATGCATCGTCCTGTCGGACGAGAACTGCCCAGACGAGAAGATCCGCATGAACCGCGTGGTTAGGAATAATCTGCGTGTGCGTCTGGGTGATGTGGTCTCCATCCAGTCCTGCCCGGATGTCAAGTACGGCAAGCGGGTGCACATCTTGCCCATCGACGACACCGTTGAAGGTTTGACTGGCAACCTGTTCGATGTCTACCTCAGACCGTACTTCCTGGAAGCTTACCGGCCCATCCACAAGGATGACACTTTCATCGTGCGTGGTGGCATGCGGGCTGTAGAGTTTAAGGTAGTCGGTGCCGATCCGTCGCCGTACTGTATTGTGGCCCCGGAAACGGTTATCCACTGCGAGGGCGATCCGATCAAGCGCGAAGAGGAAGAGGAAGCGCTAAATGCCGTCGGTTATGACGACATTGGTGGATGCCGCAAGCAGTTGGCCCAAATCAAGGAAATGGTTGAGCTTCCTTTGAGACATCCTTCGCTGTTCAAGGCGATCGGTGTCAAACCCCCGAGGGGTATTCTCATGTACGGTCCACCCGGAACGGGAAAGACTTTGATCGCTCGGGCCGTAGCTAACGAGACTGGCGCCTTCTTTTTCCTGATCAACGGTCCAGAAATTATGTCCAAGTTGGCCGGTGAATCGGAATCCAACTTGCGCAAGGCCTTTGAGGAGGCAGAAAAGAACTCCCCTGCTATCATTTTCATCGACGAAATCGATGCTATTGCTCCGAAACGAGAGAAAACTCACGGTGAGGTCGAACGCCGTATCGTTTCCCAGCTTCTGACGCTGATGGACGGCATGAAGAAGAGTGCGCATGTAATTGTGATGGCTGCTACCAATCGGCCAAACTCGATTGACCCTGCGCTGCGTCGTTTCGGACGTTTTGATCGTGAAATCGATATCGGTATTCCGGATGCCACTGGACGGTTGGAAGTGCTGAGAATTCACACCAAAAACATGAAACTGGCCGACGATGTCGATCTGGAACAGATTGCCGCTGAATCCCACGGTCATGTCGGTGCTGATTTGGCATCGTTGTGCTCGGAAGCTGCACTTCAGCAGATCCGAGAGAAGATGGACTTGATCGATCTGGAAGATGATCAGATCGACGCCGAAGTGCTGAACTCGTTGGCAGTATCGATGGAGAACTTCCGTTATGCCATGACTAAATCCAGCCCGTCGGCTCTCCGTGAAACGGTTGTTGAGGTTCCCAACACGACTTGGCACGATATCGGCGGTCTGGAGAATGTCAAGCGTGAACTGCAAGAATTGGTGCAGTACCCAGTTGAACATCCCGATAAGTTCTTGAAGTTCGGTATGCAACCATCGCGTGGTGTTTTGTTCTACGGACCACCTGGTTGTGGTAAGACCCTGTTGGCTAAGGCTATTGCCAACGAGTGCCAAGCCAATTTCATCTCCATCAAGGGCCCGGAACTATTGACTATGTGGTTCGGTGAATCCGAAGCCAACGTTCGTGACATTTTCGATAAGGCTCGTTCGGCTTCGCCTTGCGTCCTGTTCTTCGATGAGTTGGACAGTATTGCCAAGTCACGTGGTGGAAACGTGGGTGATGCCGGTGGCGCAGCTGATCGTGTCATCAATCAGATTCTAACTGAAATGGACGGTATGGGCGCGAAGAAGAACGTCTTCATCATTGGTGCTACTAACCGTCCGGATATTATTGATCCAGCTATCTTGCGTCCTGGTCGTCTTGATCAGCTGATCTACATTCCGCTGCCGGACGATAAGTCTCGTGAGGCTATTCTGAAGGCCAACTTGCGCAAGAGTCCAGTGGCTGCCGATGTCGATTTGACATACGTGGCCAAGGTAACCCAGGGATTCTCTGGCGCTGATTTGACCGAAATTTGCCAGCGTGCCTGCAAGTTGGCCATTCGTCAATCGATCGAAGCCGAAATTCGCCGGGAGCGAGAGCGCACGGAAAAGCAGAGCTCAGCTATGGATGTAAGTGCAACTTTCGTAGGGTCTTTTTGTGTACCTAAATGGTTTTATATTTGTGTCTTAGATGGATGAGGAAGATCCGGTCCCGGAAATTACCCGTGCTCACTTCGAGGAAGCAATGAAGTTCGCCCGCCGTTCCGTATCTGATAACGATATCCGCAAGTATGAGATGTTTGCCCAAACGCTTCAGCAGTCTCGTGGTTTTGGAAACAACTTCAGGTAGGGCTATCACTAGCAATCGATTGAACATAAACTCTAATGCTAGCTTCCATTCGGTGAACAGATTCCCAGGCGGCCAGGGAGGATCCAGCTCACAGGGACAGGGATCAAGCCAACCGACGAGTAATCCCGCCGACAATGGGGATGATGATCTCTATAGTTAGACTGTTGCAGCAGCAATATTCAATTCGTAGAATATCAAATGAGCGAGAATGTCCATCCGTAACGCGCCCATTCCCCATTGTTAGCAAGCAGAATAGATACACACACACACATATACTACAGGTACACACAAACACAAACCGAAAGCCGATAAATTGACCCTTTCACTCTCTAGCTCTGCCCCAATTTCTTCTTCTGGTTTCGATCGGAAGAATAAATGAAACGCTATTCACTCGCGCGAAAGGGGTCATCTGTTATACCGAGTACGATACATATATTCTGATTCAAGAATTCTAATATTTCATAAAACACGAATATTTATCGTAAGGAAAGTTTATCTTTTTATATAAACAGCAAACCATTAAAAACATCAAACTGATAGAATGAAACGACGTAGCCAGTAGAGAAATCCTTACCTATTTATATTTATTGATTCAACCAACAACAAAAAACTGCGCCCTCTCTGATTTCTTCTGTCGTACCTAAATTTCAGCAATTGTCCGATTTTACGTAACTTTCCTTATCTTACATTTTTATTACACGAAATACACGTTCAATGAAGTAGTACTTTAGTCTAACATAATTGGAGAAAAACATTATCATCTAGAAAGAGAAGGTTACTGCATTGTTCCCGGATAAAACAAAGAAACTGCATTATTGCTCTGGTTTGGCGATTGGTTGCGGGAAGAAAAGGAAGAAGAAAACATAAACAGATTAGACGTGTGCTGTGCGGCGCCAAGGTATGCAATGCACGGAGGAGGCGTTTTATCGCAAAAGGCGAAACAATATTAAATAATTTCAACTTGAAAACCACACTCTACACTTACATAAGATGCGCAGACGCTCTAGACATAGTAGTGATGATTGGTCAGCGTTTGGTATTGGTAAGGTGAACAAAAAATAAAGAAAAAAAAATGGTAATAAAATAGACTAAAATATAATAATTTCTATTGAGTGTTTTCATTTTACGAATGGTGAAGTGGAGTGGATATTATTGAGAAATGCTAGCATAATTACTAGATGGATTATATTCGGCTAACAGCGCTTTCATACGATCGATATTCTATAACTTGATTCAGCGGTCACTCCATTTTTCGAAGCATCGTACCTAGTCTCGATATTTTTTCAACTCGATGCCTTATAGTACACTCAAAAATAAATCACATTTCCGATGGAAAATATCCATTAGAATTTCACATAACTTTCATGTGATCTCACAATTGTGAATCGCACCACGAAATCACATGAACCTTATGTGTCCAATTAAGTTCATGTGATTTATCACATAGAATTCATGTGATCATATGAATGTTATGTGAATTTCAGGTAAAAATCATTAATTTTGTTATTGGAAAAATATCATGTGCGTTCCCAATGGAAACTATATAAAAACTTTTTTCAGTGTAGGGTAAGGTGGGACAATATTGTTTAGTTAGTATATTTCTAAAATTATTTATTTGTAAACATCAACGGATTCAACGCAAAATGATGGTTTACTTTTTAAAGCAGCATTGGGACTACATTGAGCCTGTTGATGTTGACGATTAAAAAAAAATTATCAAGTAGCCACACCTTACCCTACTTTAGTGCCACAAACAATTTATCATTGATATTTTATGGAAAATTGTAGTTTTTTGTTTCCTTTGCTCGGTACATAAAAACACTGCGACCAGTTATTTCCGTACCAACACTTCAAAGGGGCGTAATTGCAGTTGTAAACAATGGCGTTCGTCGAATGTTTCCTCTACCAGTTAGTATTGTTAATTTAGAGGAGTGAGCTTCCATTGTTTACCAAAGCAATTAAGCCCCTTTGAAATGTTGGCACAGATTTAATCCATTGGCCTTAGTTAAGTGCATGTCATGTTACTCCATCACTATTTATAAATGATGAACTATTCGGATTTGATACTAACAGTTGTCATTCTTGCCTTCATCGCAAGAAACCGATTCTAATTGAAAGGTCCCGGTATTATACCCTTCGAAGAGTGAGAGCACCCTTCAACAAAATGAAACCCATATTGACCATGCATCAGGACTAGGACCCTAGTGTCAACCAGTTCAAACTAGAGAACAGCGAATTAGGAATCACAAAGGGTAAACGCACCTATAGTGGAGGTACGTTAGTGCAATATGTTCCTATAGTGGCTTATGGAGTTTCCAGAAACCACTGTAAGAACACATTGCACTAACATACAGGGTGCGTGACGAATTTTTGCAGTAAATGGCATATTTGAGAAAAAATACACCAGTTAGTTATTCTAGCACTGAATTTTGTGCGATTTATTTTCTTTCGCAACATATGGAAGTTGTAAGTAAATTTATTCAAAAAAATTGCCTTCCCTTTCGACGACTGTAGTTAGACCAACAATCAATACGAAACTAACGATTTTAAATTGGCTCACCACTTTAGTAGCCTATTGGTCCCAAGCAAACGATTAACGTACCCTATTCTAGTTGAAATTCTATTACTACACTATGTTTGTTTTGATTCGCTATGAAAGTTTGACAGATAACATCAGGGGTGTGTGGATTCATGCAGAACATGCAGGGGTGAGTGAAATAGCTTGGGACTGCTTGGGACCGTTGTTCTGGTACTGAGTGAGCCAAAAATAATAATGATTTTCTTCGGGACCCAGTGGTCTTAGAGTTACCTCTATGGTTAGACGCTTCCGGAAACTGCAGTATGCACGTTTTAAAATGTTTCGATCCATAGATGTCATCACTGCCTTGATTTTAGCTTTTAGCGACTTAAGTGTGGTGTGAGGGGTTCTATTGGTATCCCGTTGGACGACGCCCTATACAAAATAATCCAACGGATTGATATCGGGACTGCTTGGGGGGGCAACTTTCTTCCTCCCAAATTTACGAAATATTTTCCGTAAGCCATTTCTGTGCTTTATTAGCAGTATGAGCAGGTGCTCCGTCTTATCAACAATCAATACGAAACTAACGATTTTAAATTGGCTCACCACTTTAGTAGCCTATTGGTCCCAAGCAAACGATTAACGTACCCTATTCTAGTTGAAATTCTATTACTACACTATGTTTGTTTTGATTCGCTATGAAAGTTTGACAGATAACATCAGGGGTGTGTGGATTCATGCAGAACATGCAGGGGTAAGTGAAATAGCTTGGGACTGCTTGGGACCGTTGTTCTGGTACTGAGTGAGCCAAAAATAATAATGATTTTCTTCGGGACCCAGTGGTCTTAGAGTTACCTCTATGGTCTTATCACTTTCCCAAGCCTTTTGACGTAGGACTACGTCTTTGATTTCTATTTAGGGGTACATTTTGTGAAAACCGAAAATGGAACATGTAACAAATTAAGAAAGATTTTGAACGTTAATAACTCAGCTGCAATTGTATCACCAATCGATCAAAAATATGGCTACGCATCGATAACAATGCTTCGGAATGTTAATTTTCAACAAAAAACTATTGTAAAACTGGTAACTGTCCAACATTGTCCAAAAGCGTCGAACTAACTAACAAATCAAACAATTACCTACATGCATATGCTGCTTCCCCAGCACAGTCGTCAGAGAGTAGTAAGTAGACGAAACAAGTTGAAGTGCCATTCGCCTTCGATCCTCGCGCGAGTGCGAATAGGGAGGATGGAATTGCGTAATATTTTGCACACTCATCGCCATACTCAGAACCACACGCTCCCAACGACCACACCACTGTGTGGTGGTGTTCGGTCGTCGAAATTAGTAGCAGCAGTAGTAGTGCTTTCGGCGTGTGGCGTTGAAAATTGTAACAACCAAAGGCTGCCTGCAAGCAGCGAGCTGCAGAGCCCACTTAAGCAACCATCAAAGGAGCAAGAAGCTGCACCGCTATGCTATGGATCGGAATCAGTAGCTTCGTGAGTCTCTGTGGGTCGGTCATCTATGCCAAGCGTGTCACCCTCGCTCCAAACGACATACAGCTCGACAGCCTCATCCGTGTTGAATACCCAGCTCAGAATTACTCAACCATCACTACAAAACGGTCCTTTTCAGGGCCACCAAAAAATTGTTAAAGAGTATTATTTGGACATTGGTCAAGGTCATCAGTTCCCGCAAGCAGCTAGCTATCAAGGCGCAACCTGTCTATAGAAGGTGTGGAATTGTAGGCCTGAATATATTGGTGCAATTAGTTTTTCCTCGTCTTTCATTCCGCACGATTCGTTTCTTTCGTTTAATCAATCACCCTTGTAGTGACGTCGAAAAGATTGTTTCAATCGGCGCTTACATATGAAATTTAATGTGGATTATAGAATTATGTGTATGTTACCACAATTTATGAATGGTTTGCCACTAAATGTTGAGATAATTTATTGATTATTGAATTATCACACTGTATACCATGAAAAAGCAGCCTGTTTGTGAGTTTTTGCCTGTTTTCAAGTAAGGAGTTATCATAAAAAACAAATCGTAAGCTGGTATTTCCCGGTGACTTAACAAATAAATAAAATCAAACAAAATCATCATGCACAGAACTAGCTAGGATTTGTTTTACTTCATATTTCACAAAATTGCTTTCGAGTGTTAAGGCATCGTCTCCCACAAAGTTTACATTTTTCCCTCTACCAACATATACATCAGGGCTAGATAGATCTCCACAGGATCTATAGAATCCACGCAATTTCAAAAAACCAAAATGCACAGCATTACGAAAAGAGGTCAGGTTTCGACCAATAGCAGATAGATTTTAATTCTAAACAAGCCAAACGATTGGAAATGTATCTACCAATCTGCTAAAATGAACACTTAGTTAATTTTCAATAAGTCACTTTTGAAAAATACCAAATGTCCAACTGTTGCAATGGTGATCAAAATTATCACCGAATGTTTGAAAACAGCACATTCCCTAACACAGACTTAAAAATCGAATTCGATGCAGTCCCACTGAACGAGGCTCATTCAATCTCCGTAAGTGGTGGTGTCCAGTCTAGCAGCAGCAGTAGTAGCAGCAGCAGCAGCAGGAGTGCTTTCAACAACAACAACAACAATGAAAGGCTGCCTGCAAGCAGCGAGCTGCAGAGCTCATATGAGCAACCAAGGATCGGAATCAGTAGCTCGTCTTGCTCAGCTCAGCATTACTCAACCATCACTACAAAACGGTCCTTTTCAGGACCACCATAAATTTGTCAAGAGTATTATTTTGACATTTGTCAAGGTCATCAGTTCCCGCAAGCAGCTAGCTATCAAGGCTCAACCTGGTCTCTATAGAAGGTATGGAATTGTAGGCCCGAATGTATTGGTGAGATTTATCATCGTCCGAACATTTTCCAGAACACGCTGGTAGGAAGTGTTAAAAATCCATATAGAATTTGAGAGAAGTGGGAATAATTCGCTTTGGGTGTATATTCAGTCCCCAGAAAGCCAATAAAATCAAATTTGTGAGAAAACTAGCTCCCACGAGTTCAATCTCTCGAAATCCCTCCTTTTTTACATATTCTGCACAAACGATACTTTCCGCCCCACCCCATTCATATAATTCGGAAGGAAATCCTGTGAGGGGTAAATTGAATACTCTTTAATATCAAAATGCACAAAACTTAAAAATTCATAAATAACAAAAAAATCAACATACACCTTTTAAAGTCAGGTAGATGAATCGAAAGTACTCAAGTTGACAGTCCTTTGGATTCTCTTCATCAACTTTCTCTTTGAAATAAATACTACAAATTTGATACGCTTACAAATAAAAAACGGAAAGAGTTAAGATAATTGATGATTGATCAATTAAAAGAACTAAACGTTCACATTTGGTCCGTCAACTAGCGGTCCTACGTCAAGCTTCCGTTCGTGCCCCTAGGCACATACCCTTCTACTTTTTTAATATTATACACTGTTCTTTCAGACACATTTACCGACCGAATTATTTCTTTCATGCATAC